AAAGCTTTGATCCCAGTCCCCTCCCTATAAAATTACTCTGAGATGTTTCATGTGTCCAAATTCACTGAGCCTCTCCTTTTTACATGCCGTCATTTTATGTTGCTTTTTAAAATATTTTAACACCTTCCTAAGTAAAAAAAAGAAAAAAAAAGTGCATAGATAATGTCTGAAATCCTCTGCTTATGTAAAGTTGGGGAAGGAATGTTAAAGATTTTGAACAAGTTTTATCTAATTAGAAAGGACTTAATTACTTCTCTCCTGAAAGACGAGCCTCTGGCTGATAATTTTATGAGGATGATACGCCTTGAGCAAAAACACAGAAAAGAGTTTTCTGCCAGAATTTAAGAAAATACAAGCTTCATCATATAGATTGTTACAAGTTTTGCACATGGGTAGTATTTATAATAAATCTTTGCTGTCTAGCATAGACAGGCAATCAAAACTGAAATCAGAGAGAGAGCAGCAGCAGAACAACTGATAAAGCTTCCACATGTAAGTTCTTGCTTCTTCACTGTAAGATCTCTTTCATGTTCAACCACTTTATTAATCAAGACATTCCCCTCACCCCACTCCTCTCCTTTTCTACCCCCAGCAATTTACTGGGATTCCTTCTGTGGATTATCTAAACGCAGGGAAGGCATTCATGCACCATTATCACGCCTGTTGTCACGAGATATATTATACGGGTTTTCAGGCAGAATATTTTGTCTTGGAGACAGAAATGAAATGTCTATTCTGTGAAAGAAGTGACAAGCTACAACAGAAAAGCACAGCAGCAAAGACAGGCAGCTTCTGGGCTGGAATCAGCCTGTGATAAAGAATTAATCATTCTTTATGGTCTTTAAGGATCTGCATTCACACTGGTGTCTGAATCTTTTTGTGATCACGTTAACTCTTACAAAGAAGCATGTTTACTGACTTGTTTAAACCAATCTGCTAAAATACAGAGAACCAGTCTCTTAATACAGAGTGATCATCGTGTAAGGATCAGGATCAGGTTTTTATTCTGCGCATATTAATTTTCTGTTTGTGCTTTGCATTTTTAGTGTTTTCTTGTGAGCTTAGCAGGCAAGTATCAAAAAGTTTAAGTCTAGTATTTGAACTAACTTTGACTGGTCAACATTTTTTGCATGGGAAAGTAATTAAATTTTATTAGACTGCCTGTGGTGTCTTGCCCCATTTTGTGAGCAATGCTCTTTTTTTGATCATATGAGGGGTGACCTATAGCATGGGTGTTTAGGAGAAAGCTACTTCTCTGTAAAATTCCACATGATGGATCAAAATCCAAAGTTCCCCCCACCCCTTCCACTCCATTGATTTCTTTATGGCCCCTTCATTCAAGAAATATCATCTCAAACAAGCAAAAATCACTCATGATCTAACACATTGATACACATTGTCACACGTAAGTTTATCCTGGGACAAATGCATTTATGTTTTCCTGTTTAGTACCACATGTCCACCATTGTTGGTCTATAGTTCCCAAGGAAGATTGCTCTTAATGTCATGTGATGTTTCCTAGTTATGAATTATATTAAAAAGAAAATAAAGGTAAAAGCACATATATATGTGTATATATATGTAAAAACATGTATTTGTAAATATATTTTTTAACTTTACAACTTTGTATATATGCATGCTTGTACATATACACATGTATATTGAAGACCTTGTTTCCAATAATGATCGTAGTCAAACTTCCAAAAGATGGATTTCATTTAGGATTAATGGAACAATTAGTAAGGCAATAACAATTTACTGTTACAAACATACAACAAAAATGTGCCTCTTACAATGAACTTAGTGTTTTTAATTAGCAAATGGAATCCAACATTTTCTAGTTCTCCCATTAAAATGAAATTAGATGCAGGGTTGGGAATTTTAATTCAAAACATTCACCTTTACTGTTGGAACACGTTTCTGAATGAGTTCCTAGAGTATTTTAGTGAATATCCATGCTAATGTACTTGTAAAGCGTAGGGTCCTACCTTGTTAACATTCCTTTCCAGAATTAGGGCATCAGAAGAATTTGACTTCAGAAGGAAAAAGGGGATTGTATAAGATGACTTCAATGAACCAAAGATTATTTCCATGTGTAACAGTATAACTTAATTTACATTCCTACATCTCAAAATAATGGATGCAGCATTTTTAGTAATTACTGAACAGTTACTTGCTGCATGCAAGATCTCTCATTTGAGGTAACCGAGCTGAGAGCAGCGGTGGAATGAGGTTTCACATTTGTGGCAATATGGCATACACACATCTACTTTAAGGCGTGCAACCCAGCAGCCTCTCTCCTGACAGTGCCTACGTCCCCTCTAACAACTGTGTAAGCAACCTAACATGACTTACCTGCCTCGGTATCACAGATTTCTACAATGTTTGTTGTAAACACTATGTCCTTAGAGTAAAAAATTATATAATGAGTGAGGAAAAAGCCAAAGACTGGAATATCTCAGTGCTTCCTATACTGCAAATTAATGTGTTTCTAAGGCAACTTAATCAAGAAAATTAAAAAAACTTTGTGAAATAAGCATTTCAAGTGATAATGGCAGGGAAGAATTTCAAACAAATTTGCAGCTAAGTGAGGCTCATGCCTAATAGCTGTCCAGGGCTTGCTCCAGACCATTTTTGCTGTAGGTCTATGAAGCTCGAAGGAAAAGACAATCTTTAGGGAGGCTGGAGGGAGACATTTCTCTGTGTGGATCCCCAGGGTAAGCCAACAAACTGCACCAGCGACAACTGGGGACTGAGTGTGAAATGTCTGTAGCCACCAGCACCAGCTGCACGTACTTACCAGCTTCTCCACCTCACAGGCATGGACAGCACAGGGCAGGTGTGACTTTTTCCAGCCAAAGACACTTCCAACTTTTACTCAACTTGGGATAAGCATCAGAGCACACTCAACTCACTAGTAAGCTCCTGGAGTCAGCTGCATCCTGGAGCTCCCACACCCAGGGAGTCCTGTGGTTTCATGGGGAAACAGTGGATCAGGGACAGGCAATAGGCAGCAGCATGTGGGATCTGACCCTTCCCTCCAAAACCACTCTCACTGCTCCCCCTGCAGCCTTCCTAGTCCCTCAGACCCACGGCGGGGAGGGCAGAGGCAGGACACGGGGAGAGGAGAAGGAAAAGGAAGAAGGTGGAAGGAGCCAGCCTTGGCAAGAGAAAGTTGCTAAATGCTGTGTTTAGATGCTCAGACTTTTTTCCACAGATCTGTTCCATAGCCCATTGTCCCTTATCTTATAATGGGACAGTTAATTATTCCTACAGAGCATACATCTTCCAATCTTGTCCTATTGAAGAACATCCTTGTATTTTTTTTCAGTCTAATTTTCCAGAGTCACTTTGAATTTTAATCCCACTGTCTTGAGTGACCAAGCCCCTTCATCTTACATGGGTTGTTACCCTGTATGCCATGTTTCACAAGGGGCAAACATCGCTTTCATGGATACAAGCCAATTTATGTCTTATGTGGAAAAATAATCCCTTTTTGTTTCTCTAAATGGTACTGAAATGCGAAGGTAATGCAACAACACAAGTATGTGAAGATAGTGAAGTCTGTTTCTGCTAAGCTCTGCGGTGCAGAGTGCTGAGCGAAGTAAAAACTTGATCTGCATCAAATGAAGTGAACTTAACTGACTTCCTTGAAGATTCATAAATAAGAAGGCCAGAGAGCAAGGCTGTGAGGCTGGCTGCATGTGTACGGGCAGAAATTCACCCAGCTGTTCTGGCACCTTGCTCGGGAGATGAAGCTGATCAGTAAAATCAAGGGAATTCTCCAAATCCCTTGCTTCAATTTTCTCTTGAAAATTATTGATCAGTGTCCGGAATACAAATAAACAACTGCCGTGCAGATCCAAACTCCATATATGAGGGAAAAAAAGAAGTTAAAGAATTGCACACATCCTGTGCACCATTTTCCAAGAAAGTCCTGAGAAGTAGCCTTGTCTTGGAGGAGGTTACAAAGGAAAGAGAAAAAGCAATGTAAAGGTCTTTCATTTCATCTGATACATAATACCATATGTTTTTGCATGCTTCATTAATGCTCCCTGCTTTGCTGCCTAGAAATGCACAATGAGTTCAACCTTCAGGGGTCAGCAGTGCTCAGCATATCTATGAACTGAGCTCCAAGTGACTGTGGGGACTATCGACTGAGGGCTGACTCTGCTGAATATTAATCCTGCGATTTTAGGTTGGATGGTTTGGAATCTGAAAACCAGCTAAGTATATATCATCCCCCATCTCGCAAATGCCACTAATCACCTGTACATTCTCAGAAATAAAACAGTATTTCAGTCAGAGGGTGCACTTGGAGAGTATACTTCTGAATAGACTTGCTAGCCTGTAAAATTTCCTGTTTACTCATGGTTTTGAAAGTAGATAAATACCATAGCCTTTTTTTGAGCTTTCTAGTGCAAAGACTCCTGTGTTTTGAGTGATAACATTCATTTTTGGAAAGCCTAATACCATCAGACTCGCTGTACGTGGTCTGGAATAAAGCTTGCTAAATGCAGCAGAGTTTTTGTGGCTGCACTGAAATACGAGCAGTGTAAAGAGAGGCTGCTTCACTGTCTCATTTTTATGCCCAGTGGTCTTTCATAGAGTGTTCTGCCTAAATTTTAGTCTTAGCAGATTACCTTCAAATCAGAGTAAATTAGAGCTCAGGATTTACTCACAGGGCAGTGCTTTACTCCATTAGAAGCCTAACAACTTAAATGCAAGGGAGCACAATCTTTGTATCTTTAGAGCTGTCTTGACAATGTGCTGTTTATGGACTCTTTTTAGCATACACAGACATAAATGAATGCAAAGCCAAGAGGTTGAAGTGAAATGACTAAAAGGGTGGATCCTTCCTGTTACAGCATTAACATTATTGCTATTCCAGGCTTTCTTATTATTATTCTTATTCTTAAACACTGGATTGAATAAAAGGTAGTAAGAGGTGTGATGGATATGAAAATATAATGATGACAGCATAGCAAATTAATGCTTACCATTTCCTGAGTGTTTGCAAAATCTGCATCTTTCGAGCTACACTGCACCAAAAGCATTATAATATTAATCAGGACAATACAAAGGAATACATATTTGTATCAAAATCTACTCAGTGCTCCCTAAAGACAAAACCAAAATAAAAAAAGGAGGAGATTTTCATCTCATTGAAACAGTACCTGATACATTGCTAATGCCACTGCATATACAAAGAGGCATGTTCATACATGGTTAAAAATACAGCCTGAGTCTTAGTGCATTGTCTTGCGTGTAGAATTTTATTGCATGTAGAATAAACTACTCTGCATCTAACTCAGAATCACAGCCATAACCTCTCAAGGTATTTTTATTTGACCTCAAATGAGTCAAAAAAAGGAATTCAAATAAAGGAGTTCATAGAGCAGCCATTTCTCTGCTATTTATGCAGCACCTGTCAAAGCACTGGCTGTGCAGCCTCAGTTCTGAAACATGTTATTAGTGTACATCTTGGCCTGGACTTGACTTTATTTTATATTTAATGACAGGATGTCAAAAATACTTTGATCGGTATTAATGTAGTTGCTGGAATGAAAATACTTTCAGTCAATTAGTGTTTTGATCCAATGCAGTTAGATACACCATCCATCCGTCAAGTACTGATGCTCTTTTACACTACAATCTGTCTCTCACCCATGACACAGGTAGGTGACTTACCACAAGGGAGTAACAAATCTTAAATCCAGGTTTAGCCACAAAGTAGTCATCAGATTTGAAGGTTATCTTTATCTGATTTGTTCTTGATGTTATTCTTGGAGGTACTTCCTTGTGTCCACACCACCGTCCTCGTATAACTGTGCTCGTCTCTGATACATCTTCCACTTCCACAAAGTCATACCTGGGAACCAGTTTGAAGGATTAGTTTTTGCTAACTCTGGTTACAGAAGCTGGTTGCAAATGGACAGGGGCACAGCTGAAGTCACAAAGGCAACTGTCCTCCATTCTCCACTGCAAAACATCAGACTAAATATTACAAACCATGGACATGCTTGTGTAGCACAAAATATACTAAGCTGCAAGCTACTACCTGAGTGCTCAAATGGCTGGGTTTTGGGCTCCTGGAACATGACAGACCATATTTTCTACCACATTACATTAGCAATGAGAGGCACTTGCATGTGCTTAGCACACTGTAAACATGCATTGCGTACAGATAAATAATTTAGAGATCTGATAAAATATTATTTAAGGCAGGCTGCCCAAGCTAAGCAGCTGCAAGCCCTTGTGCACTTTCTGTTGGTCCCCCAGCTCCCTGCACTAGCAGCCACTGGCTCCTGCCTGCTGTGTCTGTCAGAGAGATGGAGCCAGGCTGCTGCCAAGCCAGAAGCAAAGGGAGATGCTGGAGGGACACAGGGCAGCGCATGCTGCTGGAAGGTGCTTTTCAGGACCTTCTGTGTAGGTGGCATGGTGTTCCTGCTAGATGGTTTGGAAAGACTCATTTCAAGTTTTCATGCAGAATAAGGCAGGCTGGCATGCTGGGTGGTGCGTCCGGGACTCCTGCGCTCTGCGCCTGGATGCTGTCACCGGGGGAAAAGCAACAGCACGTCTGGCTCTGTGCAAGGTCACCCCTTGCCCAGGCACACACACCACAGCCATGGTGTCCCTGAGCCCCAAGAGGGCTCTTCCTGAAGCAGCAGACACTGAACCCCAGGGACGAGAGGACACAGTGACAGCACTCACACAGCCCCAGCCTGCACGTTTGCTGGCTTGGATCATTTACTGGGTTCATTTCTTGAGCTGGAGAATAAGGAAGTCAGAGAATAAAGCCCTGATCTCACTACATCTATGAGAAAAATGGTCTCTCGATAGCTGTGGAGCCAGAACTAGGCCCCACACATTGCGGCTAGCGAGGGGGAGGTGATGACAAGAGGGGCAGGTTGAGCGCAGGCAATGAGAGATGGGGAGAGCTGCCGTCACCACAGTACAGTTCAGCCTTAAAACTTCAGAGGTATTTACCAGGAAAGCTTGTTATTATCAAAGCATGTGCTGCTTCCAAAGAGGGACTTTAAGACTGTTAACTGATTCTTACTAGAAATGTGCTGCTCCCCACCCCCAGGTCTGCTCGCCAAGCACCCGCCTCTCTACCCGGTTGTGGGAGCTGAGTAGCTCTCTAAATAACAGACTTGATTTTCTTTTTCTGCTGAGAGCTTGTGTGAGAAAAATGCAAGTGCTACGCGGCTTGAGAATATCAGCACTGCCTCTTTTATATTCACTAACCCCAAATTGCATAGAACATAAAATAACAGCTTTGCCATAACCAAATCACTTAAATCTGCCCAAACTCTGCTGAAACAAACATTTTTCCTAACACTACAAAGTTTAGTTACAGACAGAGTTGAACTTGTCTCAGGTTCTCTCCACCATCCTCTGCTTCCACTCCCCCATGGTGGTGGATGTGGTACCTGGACAGAGGTCCCCACCGCCCACACGAGCATCCACCACGGCTCCCCAGGCAGCCCGATGGCCAGTGAACGCTCACCCTTACATGAGGGGTTGCAAAGTTTTCACCATAAGATAACCTTACGGGATTTAGTGAAAATTGCCCTGACCGGCCTCCGCTTTTTGAGGTGAGGAGCTAGATTAACTGCTACCAAAAATGGGACAAATCCATGGTATTTCTGCTTTCAACACCAGACTTTTCTGCAACAACCATGGAAATAGGTACATTCTCATTTGTTTCCATGCATCCATAAAGCCTCAAAGGCTGGGTAATTTAATTGCTTTTCAGAATCATCTCTTATCAAGTGCCTATGGAAATGTTAACGGCACTTCTAGAAAATTCTGTAAACCCTTAAATATTTCCTGTCCTGAAATAGCTCTTCTAAAGTATACCTTTTCATTCCTCAGCCTGAATGAATTTCAATTAGTTCAGTCTTAATAGTATGCAAATTACAATAATTAGCATTAATGAAAAATTGAAAGAAAACACTAGGAAGTTTCTGGAAAAAAAGCATAAGGTCAAAAGCAAGTACAAAATTAAGGTAAGGTGCAGAGGCCCTCAATTACTTGTCCAATATGCACAGCATTCAAGCAATGCTTAACTCACAGCATTCATTTCAATTAACACATGCCTCACTGTCTCCCTAAAGTAGCACCACAGGGATCATCAGGGACTGAAGTTGCAGTAAGGACCTAGTTTTGAAAAACATATTGAGCATTAGCAAAAAATCTAACTACGCACACAGTGCTTAACAGGCTTAAAGCCATCACGAGCTGTCTGCCAGAGAAATTCCTCACTCTGGAAGTAATACTGCGCAAATAAAGGTCTTCCAGGAACGCCAGAGAGAGCTTTATTACAGAAAAGAATGTGATATTTCTCCAGCTTCTATAGAAACTATGGATGATGGAAGGTCTTCGCTTCTCTCTGCATCCTAAACGAGCTCCTCTGGGAACAGCAGGCAGACTGTCTTCCAAGACAGTCCAAACCCGTAATGGCAGTAACGGCTTGACTTCCCCTCACCGTGCCACCACCTTTAATGGCTCTTGACAGAAAATACTTCATCTGTTTTTCCACAGTAAATTAGCCCTCTGTTTCAAAGTTGCAATGCTTTAAGGTCAGCCACAGTTTATCCACTCTGTAAATTTTAACAGGCTGCTTCTGTATGCATTAGGCTCTCAATCTGGGAAAGTGTTCGCGGTGCTGGGAGGTAACTGTCATTACTGACTGCTGCTGAGCCCGGACCAACGGCACCAGAGCAGAGCAGCAGCTGCCAAGACCATCAGGGCGCGGGGAAGGAGAGCCAGTTTCAGGCTTCATTCCGTTATTGCTAAAGGGAAAGCAAACCTGCAGAAATGGTTGTCTCTATTGGTAACGTAGAAAACTAACAAAGCAAAACAAGAAAAAAAAAAAATCCACCCTGTAACAACCCGCAGAGGTGCCAAACCCTATAAATGCAAATTAATTGACAAAGAAGATAAGATAAGCAGAGGCCGGGTGTGCAGAAATCCTAACAACCCAGTTCTCTGCACAGATAAGGCGTAAGTAACTACATGATCAGGCAGAGTGCTGGAAGCTGACTTCAGCATTTTATGTAAGAGCATCAAATCTGCTTTCAGAGAGCGCGGGAATCCTGAGCCTGCTCTCTGCCACAGAACAGATAGCTGAATAAAAGAAATGTAAACAAAAAACTCCGTGTATTTATACCATTTTAGTGAATGCTGGCAAGATTCACCTCTGTGCTCTGCTAATGCAAAGCTGTTTATCCACCTAGGTTAATCAGCCAGATCTACTGAGCTTATGGTTGTTTTTGCTTAAAAGGGGAAACCAAAGCAACTAGGATATAGCAGAGTACGCTTATGGTTTTGGACCTATATTTAAAGGATTTAAAAGAAACCGTACCAGTGAGGAATAACAATAAAGACAAACAAATAATTTGAAGAACAGGGTTATATTTTTCAATGCATTTTTATCTGTCCCTCACACCCTAAAATAAACACATATCTATTCACTCACACTTCCCAGAGCCTTCCACATACTGAAAAAGATGTTTTTTGCCTGGCTGAAAAATGACAAAGGTGATAGAGGATGAAATCCTATTAAAGTAGTACCTGAGTCATTAGGTAGCTGGATTTGAGCATGTAAGTGCCTTGTGCTTAATATGTTACAGAAGGACTAAAACCTGCCAAAACTGCCTCAAGTCCAGGACAGGTCAGTTTATCTATAAACCCAAAGACCAATTTGGGTTGGAAGGGACCTTTGCAGGTCTGTCCTCCAAGCAGGGGCATCCTAGACCTGGCCGGAGATACCCAGATTTTGAGTTGCAGTCTCATGCCAGCGGCCACTTCCATAAGCTCAAAGGTGATATTAAGGAGCCCTTTGCAAATTCCAGTCTCCACTCACCTGCAGATATCATTTTCAGGTTCCTCCAGTCCAAACTGATTATCAAAAGCCAGCTGGATCCTCGTGCTCTCCGGGGAGTGGAGCCGCCATGTCAGCAGGAGGTTCCTGGGGTAACTACTGGGGAAGCGAGGACTGTGGATGCAGCCGTTCCCTGCCACGCTGATGGTCTCTTCTTTTCGGTACAAGTCTGTGAGGTGATTGCTCTCTGTTAGTAGTCACAACTTGTAGAAATTAGTATGTTGTTCCAGTTACAGGAAGGCAAAAAACACAACAGTTTATAAAACAGCACAAATTATTTGCATTTAATGTCTATAAAAAGTTGGGTCTAGGAGCAGTTATTATTAAATAGGAAATACAGTGTATTTTCTCTTAATTCAACCCCCTATAAACAATAAGAACAATAGTACTCAACTATATCAACTCTTTATTTTACGATAAAATATATAATTACTTTTACATTGACATCAATTATATAATTTCCCTCTCACCATTTTGTTTTTAAAACAGAATTGAAATTTTAATAAAAGCTGCAAGATTTAGAACAATGAAGTGAGACAGAGTGAAGTAAAAAGGTAAACAACCCTGCTTCCCAAATCTAGTGCTCTGTGAAGAGATGCCCTGTGAACAAATGCAGCAATAAAAGGCTGCAGGAGAATGCGTGCGAGTGAGTCTAAGTTTGTTTATTGTGCTTAAGTATTTCCTCACAGAAGCATGTGTTAGGTCACATTTTGATTTTATTTATATGGTGTGAATCGTTTGCTGTCAATGGATCATTAACACAAATAGCTACTCCATGCTTACGCTGATGTAACTGAAGTCAGAAACTGTCCCACCGACCGTCGTATTGAGTAACTTCAAGACAAATAGCAAGTCCTTACTTAATTAAAATTCCACAAATTCTGCCTGAGCAAATACTCAATTGTTCCTAAAGTTTACATATATTGAGGTAAAGTCAGCGGCTGTAAATCCCTGTCTCCAAGGACAACAAGAACCATGGCAAGACCCAGCTCTCTACAAGTCAAAATACCTTTTCAGTTGCACCATGCACTTGCATTGTCCAGCTGTTACTGACACTGGAATTTTGCTTCCAGCACTAAAGAACTGCAAACAACTATTTTTTGTGCACTGACAACTTTAGTGTGGTGAAATTTCAAGGATCAGAAGGCTCCAAGGCAACACACAGATCACAGCAAACTTCAGTTCCCAGTTAAGACTCTCAGCTCTGAGCCTCCACCCGTGAAACAGTTCCCTGTGTTCCCTGTGTGGTGCGTCGGGGTCTAGGGCTCAGTTCAGTTACTCACAGAGAGATTTATGACATCATTTAAGATACAGTATGCCCACGAGGACAGGGAGGCCCAGCAGCACATCTAGCAGACCCTAGCAAAAGTCCTGTGAAAGCTGCCTGCATGTGGGCACGCTGAGCCCTTTCTCAACATATCCCATGGGAGCTACACCCAGACAGGTCCTGAGTCAGTCACCCAATGGCATTGACCAAATTTCTACAGGAATTCGGACACTTGCTTCTGAGTAAACACCTGAACACTACTGTCCTAATCGTAAACTGAACATCACTTCCAGTACTCTGCTGAATGTCAGGTCATCCTCCAGTTCTGCTACAAGCAACAAAATTACAAAACTGGTCCCTTCTCCTGAATTTTGCTACAGAGTAAGAGCAAATGGCAGGAAAATTTCTCTCAAGGCACTCCATGAATGCTGGAAATACAAAACCAGAGTAAGCAACCAGCCACAGCCATCTGTCACACACAGTAATCAAAGTTCCTCCTTTTAAAATAAAATCTAATGTTCCACTGAAGCATTCTAATCTCTTTATATAAAATAAATAGATTTGTTTCATAAATTCTTAGGGAAAACGGGAGCCCAGAGAAAAGCTACAAACTTCATGCTAAGTATATCTATTTTTCAGGTTGCTTTTCACTGGTTCCTGGCTGTAAGTACCTTGCTGCACGTATCTGCAAGCAAAGCGTGGTTGTGTGTCAACAGTTCATTGTACCCTTCTGACAGCGTAATTATTCTAGCTTTCAAACAACCTGAAACTTAGAAGATAAAAGTCTGTGTTTCCTGTAAAAACTACCTCCAAAGATCTATTTGTGACATCTGTCTAAGATGCTTTCCTTCAAGATGAAGTGTTCTCATACCCTCAGACACCCTTCCAAAGCAGATACAGCCCTGACTCCATAGATCACAAAACACAGAACTAGCCAGTTTTGGTTCGTTGTTTTGACAAAAGAATTTGCCTTGGAAAAGTGACAATTCAGTGAAAATAAAGACCACCCAATTTTCATCAGGAACATCTACTTTCAAGTCTGTTTTCTATTTCTGGAATGAAACAAAACGTCCAGCCAACACTATTGAGTTCCTACTGAAATGCTGAGGACCTTTGGACTTTGCAAACACCCAGTACACCCAAGAGGACAAGTTATTTCACAAGACTATGTTCAAAATGTCCAAGAAAAGGGATAAAAATAGAACAGTTTTGATGAAAGCAAATTCTGCACTTTTGAAGGAAACCACCGTTTCCTATGTCAGAACAGAAGTTACAGTAGTAAAACATGGCAGAACTCATCCTACACCTGAGAGCACTTTGCTCTTCTCTTCTCGACGGCAAACTCTTGCCATTTTCCCACTATCAGCACATATTTCACTGTGCCATTCAGTGTGGTTCATGCCTTTGAGGGAGAGGTTCCCTTTTCCCAGCCAGTCGTAGTACAGTCTTTACTCTGGAGCTGTCAGATGCTGCGATGAGAGTGCTAGGGACAGTATCTTTTAAATGTGCTCACATGTATACCCCCAAACAAAAAAATCTGTGCACTTTACTCAGCACACCAGCTGAGATAGTATGTTACCGGTGTTCTTGTACCCCAAGAAGAGAGGTTCTGTCCTGGGTTTTCATTTAACTCAAACTCTGAACCCCACAGACTGGGGTGCTCTGCCAGCAGGTCAGTCACAGTTGACCAAGAGAAGTGTGGAAATGTAACGGCTGGTGCAGCTCTGCAGTATCCAAGTTGAACAGGTAAATGGAGAAATAAAGCTGCACATGCTGAAAAACTTAAAATTCAAAGCACAGTGACTTGTTACTTCTGTCATGGTAAATGCAGTAATTATAAAGTCATTATAGAGGAAAAGCTGGGGAGAAGCATTGGGACACAATGCTCAGTACTGTAAAATAGGACATATAAAAATATTACAGTATGAAGATATGCCTTTTCCACAAAGAAGGTATGTTTGACGAGAAGGCCCATGAATGCTGCTTCTATAACTCACATTGGATGAAACGCAAAGCCACTCAGAGCCATCACCTGACACTGGAGTATACTCTTACAACAACTTAGACAACTTATTTCCCTCTAACCTCTTTCCCCATATGCTAAATTACAGCCTGAATTGGTGTAGCCAGAACTGGCACCAAAAGCACTAGAGTTTTCTAAGGGGACTTTCAGTGAGATTTTCAGTCAACTGGTTTACACAGACACAGGAACACAGTCAACCCAAACTCGGTCTCTGGAGGTTGGGCTCTCATGAATCATCAAGCATCTGGGAAACAGCTTGAGGAGATGCAAGCAACTCCTGTACTTCTTCTAGCAACTAAGAAGTGAGATTAAAATGACAAGGCCTTCCCAAGCGGGCAGCATTGTTCTCATCAGATACATTGTGAGAACTCGAGGAAACCAGACACTGACCATGGGGAACATCAGGAAAAAAAGAAACAAGACCTGAGAAAAGATGTATGCAAAGCAAAAGGCAGTGCCTCTTGCAAGGCACCGAAGTGCCCGTGTTGTGATGCAATACAATGCAGTATTATACAGTGTCCTCGATGTCACATGCTAACTGTATTCCATAACGCTTTACAGGAGTAAATAAAAGATGACTGTGGGTAATACAGTGCCTGTCACATCTACTAAAAAGGATATAAAATCATTTCACAATGAATAAAAGTAGGTGTTAAGTCATAAGGCAAAAAGGCCATTTAAGCAATACATAGCAGGAGGATATTCTAGATGGCAGGCACTACGACGACGTCCTTACACTGGGGGAGGGAAACAATCTCAGAAGGAAGATGAGTGGGAAGGAAGCTGGGAGACATCCTTCGCAGTGAGACAATTCCCTGCAGAGAGTCTGAACTGACTGGAAGCAGATTGCTCTATATTTTATTTATCTGAATTAATCTCTCTTTTCTTTTTCTCTTAAGTCTCTCCCAACTACTCATTTTAAACATAATGGTATACATGATAGTCCAGCTGTCCCAAGTCAGATGAGCTCTCATTTAAGAGCTCAAAGCAGCTGCATTTTTAGAAGTGCTTGCCTTCCACCCCCTGCATGGAGGACAGCTGGTTGTCAAACTGGGAACTGGGAAGTTAAGCTCAATATTCAGAAAATTGTGCTTGCCTTAAGACTTTCTCCACCATTGTTGCCAAGCACATCCAATGTTTATCCTTCCCAGTTAGGGAAGTATGGTCTCCTAATGCCATCAGCAAGATTCAGAAATACAAAACCTATACTGCATTTGCCTGTGTTTTCTTGTAAGCTTTAGTAATGTATGACACATTTTTGTTAAAGCTACTTTCAGTCCTTACATACCTACTACAGAAAGAAGTTCGCTTTTATTAGCGTCATTCAACAGACAATGAATTCCTTCACTAAAATAAAATTAAAAAACAAACAAACAAACAAACAATACCAAAAGCAATTGCTGCTCGCTAATAGCTCATGTGACATCTGTTAATGGATATCCATTGAGCAAGGAGAGTCTGTAAGGGTCAATGCCTTCAGAAAGATGAAGAATTAAGAGAATGACCTTGTCTAAGGACCCAACCAAGAATATGGAATATTTAGTTCAACATTTCTTCAGTTTCTGGAATTTTAGCCTCACTTCCTAAAGTGTTGTCCTGTATATAAGTTCGCTTATGCCTTTGTTGCCCTTGTAGAAGTGGCCAAACTCAACAACTTCGACACAGTGTCAGAGGCTGAAAAGATACCATGTTCTGGCATGTTTTATGACAAGAAATATACCCTCTTAAATCCCATGGAGTGTAACCTGATGAGCTCATCCTCTGGTACAGCTGAGGAAAGAGTTGCTGGAAACCACGTGAAGTTCATTTTACCACTCGTGAAACTATTTGTTGTTTCAGGAAAGGACCTTGGGAGTTTGCACGTGGGAGTTTTCCAGATATAACCCTCCTCCCCCAC